TTAACTTACTTTCATTAGATCATCTTCGTCTATGATTCAACTAACCTGATAACTAGAAACAGTTTTATGCATCGATTGTGACTAAATTAAGCTAGTTTATTCCTGGCACCTAATTTCGTTGCTACGCCACAACCCTTAATTCCATTGGCTTCCTACGGGATTACTACTTTTAGAGAAGTCATATAAGAAATTGTTTTCACAAGTATGCATATCTGCTTTGTTCCCTTTTGTCAAACTGAAATATTTTCTTATGTTAACTCAAAAAGAGAATATTCACTGTCCATATGTATGAACGGCATTCGCTTCCAACAATAACAAAAATGCAGGGTTAATTTTGGCTTTGCAAATGAATAATGGATGTAATCACTTGCATTACTTGGACAGACCGATACTCAGCAATGAATCGCATCAGCTGCAAAGTGCTCACTGAGTCCTCCAGATGAGAATTTCCAAGTTGGACGGAGAACTAAGGGGGAGAAAATGAGGATGTTCGTTTGTTTCATGACTATTTCTACTGGAATCCGGATAAAGGATGTCAAACAGTCAGAGTTCGCTTCCTCTAGCAGAGAGATCCAATGGTTAACAACGGACAATACATATTACATATATTATACTACGAATTTCGTCATCATTGATGAACAGCGATATTTGAATGCACCACTATCTCACTTTGATTTTTAACAATTATGCATTTTCAATGCAATACCGTTGCTGACGGTCCAAAGCTCGGAAGAAAAAGACGGAAGCTCAGGAACCGTCGAAAGGCGTTTCGTAAAACTTAGCCACTTGTCCCTTATAGTATTGCCGTTATCGAGCATTATACAAACTCGGTCATTCCCTGAGTTATCAAAGGCCGCGAATGCTTCTGACTGAGGAAGGCTACGGAAAGCGGCGATCAGAACCACTTTCTCACCTTCTGACAGCATGGTGTGTAGCAGCACGACAAAGGCTGCCGGTAAAAAACTGCAAAACAACATACGAAGATACCAATTAGCAACGTAGCTGCCTGCTACCCGTTCAGAACGAAGAAGGCAAACAATGCGATGCCATTACAGTGCACCAGTACAGATCCGTTGAAAGATATCGACAGTGGGAGCCTACACTCGGAAATTGGAACATACCTTCACTCGGACGGAAAGAGCATTTACTTGTTGACAACGAAGCAAAGTAACAAGTCGACATAGTTGGACCTTGGTCGATGAAGCGCCACGTTTCTGGAAAACTAAAGCTCTTCGAGTAAAGATTTTTCTACTCAGGTGTCGAAATGACGACACGTGCTCAGCCAGTGTTGATGTTCTGGTAGAACCCAAAATGGCTGATAAAACCACTGAATGGAGGGCTGTTAGCGTAAGAATAGCAATCCTTCCGCTGAAAACTGCAGCGGGTTAAACCTTGACTTTGTTAGAGGGCTAGGGGCTTAATTCGGAGTGAGAACATGAATCCTTCCTTGAGGAAGTGAAGTTTGTTTTTTTATGAAGTGCTGTCTATGGAATCAATCATTGTGATGAGCGATTTTAATAGAAATGTAGGAGCAGATACTGAAAAGTGGAAAGGAGTGATTCGAAAGAACGGCTCTAATGAGTTCAACAATATCGGCATGAAGTTGCTGCGGTTTTATGCAAATAACGGATTGTATATTATGAACACATGACTAAGTAGTCGAAGAATTTAAGGTGCAAGTTCGGACGACCTCTTGTCGAAGATGAGAATAGATTTTCGTTATTGAAAAGGCTATTGGAATTGATGGAATCCATTCTGAAATGCTAAAAGCAATAAGCGAGCAGCGTATGTGCATGCTTACACGTGTATGTGAAATTGCTGCGGGCAGGATACCAGAGGCTGGAGAACTGGGGTTTTAATAAAATTGTCCAAGACGAAAGACAGCAGGGAGTGTTTCAGTTACAGAGGCTTTACATCATTTAGCTCCCTTCGCAAGGGTGCTAGAAAAGAAGTGCCGCGAAATAACTGACTCAAGCATAAGCGATAAGCAGTGTGACTTCCGACCCAGATGAAACATATCTGACTAGTTATTCGTCCTACGCCAGACTGTGTGAGAAATCGTGTCTAGAATGACGAATAACTGCTGCAGATGCCCGGTCTACCTACAAAAGCAGTACGACGTTTCGTAGTTGAAATTTCATGTTTAAAAAATTTCATAATTGAACCAAAATTAGTACAGTGTTCAATAGGGAAGGTTGAATGCATACATGTGGCGTTGTTAGAATTTGATTTGGTGTGTTTTTTTGACTTCTTAAAATTTTAACCGGGTACCATAATATGCGTTACAAGGAAATCGCGCACTTTCTATCTATAAGCTTATATATGGTACAGGGTTAAACTTAACTTAACCCTGTACGATGTCGGACTTAGAAATTTTCCATTTGTTGAAATTTTAACCTTGTACCATTATGTGCGTTACACGGTAATCACGCACTTTTTACCTATTATCTGAAATATTGTAGAGGGTTAAAAATGTTGCTTCTCCGTTGCATATGACCTTTTTAGACCCATCCGGTCTCCGCCATGCCTGCGTTGTGTACTCTCTCTTGTCTGTGCTGTACATAAGAAGAGCTGTTAGGCGCATCCAATGTGGTGAATGTACCTACGTAAAAGATATGAAGACGATAAGGTTGCTTATTGCAAACGATTTCGTTTTGTTGGCATATTCTGAAATTGATCTCTTGAGTTCTCTGGAAATGTTCGCAGGCGAATGCAATGTGACCGGCATGCGTATGAACGTATCCAGAAGAAAACCGTTAGTGCTTTCTGGCTTTCCTTTTTAGATTAACGGAGAACTAGCATAACGGTGGAGCACACGTCCCTTTGGGTCGTGTTTGCTGGTGATGGAAAGCGAGAAGAAAAACTGACCGACGAAATGGAATGGTCAGCGGCGGTCTATGTAAACTAGCCCAAACCGTTGTGGCTAAAGAGAAACTGAGTCTTAAGAGAAAGCTCTCTATGTTCAAGTCGATATTCATCCCAATTTTCTCCAACGGTAATCAGTAGAGAACCAAGCTGAAAAACTTTGATCCCAAGCAGGTGAAAAGGGCTATTTGAGCGGAGTCAACAACCATTCGTGTCTCGAAGTTGTAGCGACTTCAGAAATCCGGGTACAGCTAATGCTTCTTTGGACTGAGAAGTTACAGCTGCGATGGCTTGTGTACGTTTCGCGGACATTCCTACAAAGGAAGACTAAACTACCACTACTGACCGAAGCGACGGGCAGAAGACACAGGTGACGACTCAAGAGAAGGCAAATGTATGGAACGAATCTGTTCTAGCCTCAGGTTGTTCTCTGCCGAAATTGAGGTTTTGTAACAGAATCGAGAACGTTGGAAGCACTGTCTGACCCGTCGGTCTCCGAATTCGACAGAAGAAATGTTCGTGGAAGAGGAGGATGAAGCATTTTCAGTTAGAGGACGATCTAAATATGAAAGCAGAAGCGTATTCTGTCAGATGTTCGTCTTGTCGCTATTTTTACGTTTTGTAAATGTCAGTACATAAAAGGTTCAGCGTCTATGCTAAATTTAGTGCTAGTAAAGGTACTGAAGCATGGAACAGGAATTTCGATTCTCTTAAATTTATAAACTGCCGTATTTTTCTACCGATAACGCGTGCGTAATCTATGCAAAAAAGTAAAATCAACGTGAGAAACCAACGTTGCGCGTTATGCAATGAAGAGCAAAAAAGATGCCGAATTGTTCCAAATTATCTATGTATGCGATAGTTTCAAACTGCGCATATTGTGAAAATAAATTAGTCTGAAACATTGAACATAATACAACATCAGTGAATACAAGAAAATAACAAAATTAGATAAAAATTAAACATGAAAAGTTAGACAACATTTATTGTACAAACTTATTCCAATAAAATCACACAAAACCATAAAATGTTTCATCCGAATCACTATAAAATGAAAAAAGAACATTTACAGTTTCTTCAGTGATACGATTCAGTTCGATTTCTGAAATTAATCCATAGTCATCTTCTGCTTCTGGCATTACAGAATCTAGTGCATCGCCATATGCCTTTAAAACACGTTTGTTACACAAGACACTGTAGCACGTTGCCAACGTTTAAGGATTCACCTGCACATTTCTTCATTTGACACCAGTTTAATCTTTCTCGATTTACTATAGTCTTTAATTCCAGTCATACATCAACTTCTTCCATCTGGAGCGCAACTTATATTATTAACGGATCAATCAAGCGGCTGAATCTTTTTTAATCCACCCGGAATAGTTGCCAATTTTGAATACTGTTTCATCTCATCAGTATTATGCGCACGGCAAGTCTGTTATTACATTTTCATAAGCATTAAATATTACAAGGTATGCAGTATCTACTAGATGCGCCTTATTTATGCATTTTAACTAGTATAAAGAAGTAGTATAAAGAAGTACATGGTACACGGTATACAGTGTGCGTTATCGATGAAAAAAACGGTAATTTCATTTAATGACAATAGTGCATTTCAAATCGGGGTACTGTTTCTCCCATCAATTGCTAGCTTCTTCATAGTAATTTGTGCATGTCGAAACATCGTACCAGGTGTTAAGAACTAGTGCACTGAAAAGAAGATACTGAATTTTAGAGTTTAAATATCATTTAATATGTATAACGTGGTATTTGTACTGGTGTGATAGATCAGTCGCTACAAGTCGATTTAAAATAAAAATTTCCATTTTGCCAGTTTAATGACTTTATTTGATTTGAAACATTTGTTAAGATTTTACAACAAATTATGATAGAACGTTTGCAACGAGGTAAAAGCTGAATATCATGACCTAATTGGACGGATTTCACCCCGCTCTTTTAACTTGAATATCTGACTTTGTAAACACTGTAGAACTTTCGCGGGGCTGAACGATAGGGGTGAAGGAACTGGTTCATCGGTGTCGTATTCGTTTCGTAACGACATTTTCAGAACACGTTGAGTGTATGAAAATTTCTTTTTGCATATGTTAGTACAGTTATTAGTTCAGAAATAGGTATCGATGGCCACTGCTAACCGATTACTTGAAAGATTTGCTTCACGCCAGTTCCATCGGCAAGCGGCCAGTCTCCTGTGCCCGAGGACGACACAGCGACCATCTCGTGTCATTGTAAACGTGGCAGCTACCGGCGTTCGTGCCTTGTCCAGTTCGCAAGTGGTAAGCTTGTCCGCGAAGCGTGCGAACGATGCAGCATGTGGTATTTGCATTCTTGTTGTTGAAGAGATGCTACAAGGTCTTCAAACCGCTCACTCCTGACCCTCCGAAGAAGATGACGATAAAACAGGTAGAGGAACGCACCTTCAAGGCCATCAAAACATTTGACAGGCTTCCGATCGAAAAAGAGGTACACACTTTATGAATGCATCGGTTTTAGGCACCGCTCCTTCTGTGTGCCACCGTCCACTGGCGTTCCTATAGCTCCGGTAGACCCTTAACATTAAAAACTGTTAACGACAGAGTGATGCTGGTTTTACGTTTGTTTGATAAGATTGATCCGGAGAAGGTACCGATTACGCGCGTGTCTACATCACTGACATTAGTTTTGTTTACAGGTGAAGTCCAGTTCTCATTTTATTAATGACCTTGGATTGGACAGCCTGGACCACGTGGAAATAATTACTGCCATTGAGGAAGAATTCGGTATGTGTTGAATCGGGCATGCTGGTCGTTCCATTTCCATTGCAGTGTCTTTTATTTAATTTTTCTTTTTGTTCCTAGTCTTTCGTTTAAAATTCGTCAACCATCAAATAATAAGACTCAGAACTCATAGATAACATTAAATATTCATGTAAAGAACTTAATTTACGTTTTTGATTACCGGATAACTCATATTTTCTGCTGATCGTAGATCGTCCAAAAAGTCTTTACTTCTATGGAATATTTTTTAATAGGATAGAAGTAACATGTTTATTTGGTTATTACCCAGAGTGACTAAGAGATTCATAGTTACCCCATCAAACCCTTCTCGTATTCACCTCAGCGATGCCAAATTGTAGTTGAATCACTCTCTCTGGGAATTCTAATGTTATTGTTTTTTGTGGAATTGAATTTAACGATTTCATCGTAACAATATATTTTAATTCCCCACTGCTGTTATGTAGTTGCATAGTTCATAGCATGCCTTATACAATATAGGATATCAGTATTTGAAATGAATGCAGCAGGAAATTTCCACCGAAGGAGGTATGAAATAAGATGTGCTATTTTCATGACTAATTATTAAGAAAGCGTGAACAAAAATGTTGCGCATATTTTTGATATCTGACTCTATTTAAATATGGAAGGGAGGAAGAAAATCAAGAATCTGAGGTAGTAGAAGTTGAAGAAGTAGTCGAGGGAAAGAGGATAAGAAAGCCTTATTTTATACCCTGAAGACGACCGATGCCCATCGATGGTGGGATTGGGGTATTTTTGAATCGAGATCGATTTTGTTTTTCATTCTGTTCGCCATGAAACCAGAAGATAGGATTATCTGTAGTCGTTCATGTTGAATTTCAGTATTGGTATGAACTTTAGCAGAAGAGCAAGAACAACAGCATGGGAATGCACAAAGTGAAATATTATGTGAAGCTGCATTGTTTCATATAAATGGGTGCCCTCACAAGACATGATCATTAGCTCTGAGTACTTTAACTCGTAGCGTAAGCATCAAGCACAATGGAATGATGTTGTCAGTCAGTGATTAGCTTTGTCTGTTTCTTTGCAAGGTGCTGGCACAGTGGCAAAGAGATCATCTGACAGCTCCAGTTGTTGGGTTCGGATTCGCTGAAAGGACAACGTCTGTGTTAACCGCAAATTCTCTTGAGTGAGGAATTAACCATACGTCGCTTCAGTGCAGCTAGTCGATAGCTAAGTAGTAAGTAGGCGACTTGCGAAAAATAATGACAATATGGTATTCCATTCTGATTATCCCAGAACGGATAAAGAATGTGGTCATGCTGTTAAATGCGAGCGCCCCTTATGGCTACACTTAATCTCGCTCCATCTTATAGCTGATAATCTATTGTAATGATCAGTAGCAGATATAACCCAGATTTCGATTTCGCCTCGGTGCACAGAGGCTCAAGTTTTTATTTATGTGAGGCATTCAAGGAAAAATTCTGAACACGTGCATAGGTTACAGTCTGTTTTCTCCCTATGTGTTTTTTATTGTTTTCGTTTTTTTCATAATCACATGTTCTTAAACCAACGGCTGTTTAACTGTTGCAAATGCCGAATAGTAGAAAGTTCGTCATGAAAACCTTTATTTAAAGATATTATGAAACCGATGGCGATCTATTCATGAATCAAGACAAAACTGATTAATCTGTTTATTAGTTTTTTAATAATCGAATTTCAGTATGGCAACAATTTTCCCAACTTTTTTCATCTGCAACATGAATCGCATGAAGATTTTATTCCATTTTGTAAAAATTTCTTGTTGTACTTGTTGCTGTTTCGATTCTAAGCAACGCCTCGTCCTACCGTTAAAATAAACACATTAGTCATGGGATTTTAAGTTGTTGTACGAGATCTTCCCGCCTACAAGTGAAAACAGGCTCAATATTTTTTGAGAAAAAGATAAATGAAGGTTTGTAGCCGCTGGAATATCGATGTTCCTTACAGTTATATGATAGGGCCATTTCTGCCGTTATTCTTTTCATGAGGTCAATGGTGAGGCACTGATCTCCATTTCCATGCCATCAACCGGGAGCTAATCGTTTTGGAACGGCAGAGTCGACAGCAGTTGAGTGGCAAGCAGGTTGTGTATCCTCCCGTTTCCTGCCCACACTGTGGTTGTCATTTATCAACTTCGGAAGGAAGAAAGGTCCGTGACCCGATCAGGGTGCGAACCATAACTTATTGTTTCTAAGTCTGTCGTTTTCCCCATTATGTAACCCCAGTCTGGAAAAATTCTCTGTTAACAACGAATGTGTCATAAGTCTAATTAATGCTATATTTAAATTACCCGCTCTTTGGTACTGTCCAGTTTTATGATACTAATTCCCTAGTTTTGTACCTAATATATCATACAAACCCGATGAATTTTGACGGTTAATGAAAAGCTATCGATTAAGTAATTTTTCCGCAAATGCAACACGTTATGAAGCCTAAAAAACAAGATTAATCGTCGATCTCGCCTGGGATTGACAGCAAGTGTCAATTGCACGTGCTACTGCGATTGCAAATCCATCGGCAGAACCTGTAGATCGTTGAAGACTTACACAGCCGAACCGCGGAGACTCATTAGTAATCCCAGCGCTGATGTTTCTCATTTGTCTCACATGCTCTGAACACGTCATGATTTTAACGTGATCTACTCAAGGTTGTTCGTCGACACAATTACAGAACGAAGCTGTAAATGACAAGTTACTTCAACATCTCAATGAGCCAAAACGAAAGTTGCATTTTCTTTATCAGTGTCCGGAAGGTTAGATTTCTGTTATATAGCGAGTTTTCTTTTTGTCATTCGTGCTGATAGCCATGGAAAAAAGTCGTATCCGTCACCAGTAAACTCGTAGATCACTTGCTCACATGTTGTTTTGAAGAACATGTGTGACAGCAACTGACAGTTGAATTATGGGGTTGACAAGTTACGGATTTTGCGACACTACATCAACTAACTTTTGAAAATAATGCAGGGGTTCATTTGGCAGGTGGTAACAATGCTTCGCAATATCACAACCCGAAGATGGCACATAAAGCCTTTACTTACAATAATATTAAATGAGAAACTGACTTTTTGGACAAAACTGTTTATAATTGCAGTTAAAAATTTTTTCTCTCGAAGCCGGCCAGGTCAGGTTTCAGTTTCTCGTGAATAAGTAAAATTTTTGTTGTTTTCCGGTTCATGAAGTTCTGAATCATTAGCAGGCTGTCGGCTACCGGTCGAGAAAATTTCAAATGAACTCGACCCGCGCTTAGATTGGTTTAATAAAACGGACTGAAAGAAATTTGTATTTCTTCAAAAAATTTCTCACCTGGTAACCGCCAAATGGCTGGTTGGAGGACAATACCAAGCAAACTTTTTGTTGAGGAATGCCAACTGGTTGGCCAACTGCGATGAATATAACCTTTGCCTCATCAGTGAACCTTGCCTAATGTCTATTTGAAATACCATTTGTAAAGGTCAGAAATAAATCTGTTTTTTTCTCTTAAACCCAAGTGAAAATGACTTGAACGAAATAACAGCAGTTCGGCAGCAGATAACCCTTCAAGCCATTGAGTTGTAGGTGCAATGATGTTAAAAAATTTTAAAATTTGTCTCCTCAGTTTCCCCTCATTGCACTGCTTAGTATTGAACAGTGATGTGCATTTTTCAGGTATAAAGAGTACATAAGAACCATTAAAAATTGATAATGAACATCGTTTTTGTTTGTACCGATGTAGGTCATGCCGAATGCTTGAATCGTTAAATTAATTTTATAGGAATCGAAATACCGGACGGAGACAGTGAGCAGCTAATGACACCTGGTCACATAATTCAGTACATATGCGACAAGGAAGATATCTACGAATAATCATGTTGGCCGTTGTTGATACTAAGATTCGGCATTCACGCGTAAAAAGGAAGGAATCGTTTATTCTACGAAAGCTGGTTTTTGTTCCAAAGTAGTTTCTGTTTTCAAGAAAGGTTTAATTAAGGTGTGTAATAACCCTAACCGTGTTGTTTTGATTTTTCAGTTTTTGTATGCTCTTTGTTGCACCTTTGTCATCGCTTCAAAAATAGCGTCTCTTTCATTACTTCTTTGTTGATGCTAAACAGGACTGTTTGAAACCGGGGAAGCAAATCGTTCTTGTACCCCACTCTTTGTGAATCAGTGGTGCAACGTCAAACCGGTTTTCTGTTTATGTACTTTTTGTTTCTGGTTATTTCTTAGAAGTACACGATTTTTATCGAAAACAAGGTGTTTCGTGATCCAACTGCTCATTAGTGGAATTTGCTGTAACTTGAGTAAACATGTTTCTTCAGCTGGAAATCGATGACAGTAAGCGTACCCGTATTTTAAAGCAGGTATGACAGCATATGAAATTCAACAATTCATTCATTTTAAAGCAAAATCAGTTCGTACAAACATTTTGGATATAAGATACTTTTTAAAAGACGCACTGATTAATCTTCATTGACAAAGGTGTAAATTTAACGCGGGATGGGCATGAATCAGCGTTCATACTTCTTAATAAGTAATCAAAGTACTTTTTTGTGCGCCATCTCGCTTCATCGATTCTGATAAGATAGCCTTTGCTGCCTCATTACAGAGCAGATTCTCGCTCACTAATTTTTGGTAACTTACTCGATATTTGGCATGGGATAGAAATATCTATTTCCAAAATCGACCAATTTTTTGTATGTCATCGCTGTTGTAATATATGGAAACAATCGTAAGGAAAGACCAGGAACATCGGTTTTAATGAGTACATTGTTGTTGTTTTCATCGCATTATGATGGTTAAAGGGCTTGATGATGTAAGTAATGATTGTATCCTGCTGTAGGTACAAGTGATTATTAGAGAATGAGATTAAACCTGTTAAATATGCTGATTGGCCACAAACCATTTACTCAAGGCCAGGAATTTCTTATCTAGGAATTAAAACCTTGCAGAAACCAGCTAGAAGGAACCAATAAAGACTGATATGGTTTTGGACAGAATTGCTCTTTCTACGATGAATAAGCCGATGCCCTTTAGAAAAAGTGTTCTAAATCTGGAAATACAGCGGACGTCATTAATCAGACAAGTTCTGGCCATGGCAATGTAAGCAACCGACTGGTTGGTGTGAACATTTTCCAGCATCGAAACGAGTAGAAAAATATCTGCCAGAACAAAGCATGTCCATGGAGATGAATGATAAACTTGAGAACACCACTATGTAGTTTGTTTAAGCCCCCATGCAATATATATTCATGATCAGAGAGGCATGCGGTTGTTAACTGACTGCCGCCTTCGATGATCCAGCACGCAAAGACATGGTGCCAGCAGGAACCAGTCTTAACTGAAATTGAATAAAATAAGAAAAAGTGCTACCCCCCAATAGGATGACTGAAACGTCAAAAAACCTGGCACAACGATTTGTAGAGATATTAATAATAACGGTTAACGCCGGAAAAGAGTAGCGGCTCTTCACAACTGCATTACTGAGGACTGCTGAAAAATGGCGCAGTTGTGAAGCGTAGAGTACTCGATTTGTTCGACTAGAACACGCTTGCGGTACGGTGACGCTTATGGTTAGCATGTGTAAATTTCGGGCGGCTTTCTAGAGTTTGATAAGACCGATCCATTCGGACAGCATCAAATATCATCATATACAATGCCGCCATCTTTGTAGTCGTGATATGCAGCGTCGAGGCATCAACTCTTTTAAACAGAATGATAAGATGTTGGACACGTTCAGCAGCGCTGTTTTCAAAATATTCTGAAACTGTGATGGTTCCATCAAACGAAGGATCGAATGATCTTAAAGATGATCGACCTGGGAATGCTTCGGAAGAAATCAGGGATCCGCTTGCCAGAACTATACGGAGAGAGTACAGAGACTTAATACAAAACCATTCTTCTGTTGGAGACAAAAATATGGCCGCAGGCGTGTCGTAGACCAAGTTCACACGCTAATGCAGTT